ACAATGTCATACAATTAAGACTATAATTACTTGTTTTTCTTATATAATACTTAAAATGTATTTTAAACTTCTCAATTTGTGTTACCTGTGAGTTTCTAATAGATATCACCATCACCATATAAAATCTGCACATCCAAAAGAAGCTTTAAAAGGATGCTGGTGCACCTAGTATGTCTATTATTAGGTGGGATGTATAGTATGTTATGATTCTAGTCTGTGTGCATAGATATCTCAACGATGTGATCATTATCTACTTTCACTTTAATTATACTCAATGTATACTCAATGCAAAGCATTGGTGTGACTAATATAAAAGTAAGTACAGTGCACCCTCCCTTTACAGACCTCTATATAGTCCCCTTTTAAAAAGAACCAAACAATCTAACCCTGTAATTGGAAACCGCATCCTGAAACCACCACAAATTTTTGCATACAAAAGGTGGTCTCAAATTGGAGGGCGAACTATTATACGACAATTTTTCAAAAAGGGGTTTAAAGAAGAAAACAGTTATAAAGTGAAGTAAGTATATGATACCTTCTTGATGATCTTCAACTAATACTGTACTTTCATCATGTATAGGTCCACCTGGAATCTCTATAAACAAAAATTATAAGGTAAGGAAAATCTTGTTATATTTGAGTTCACGAAAGTAAAAACTACACAAATCAATGGTGACGGTAGTCCGAGTGCATACTTACCTGGACAAACAGACTAATTGCCTATTCTCTTTCTTTTAAGAGAACACCCCTCGAAAAATAATAGAACAGTCAACTCCTTTCTGAATTTTGAGTTGGGTTGATATTAAACTGCATATTCTTTTTACCTGTGCATTTATGATCACCATCAATTGTATCATTTGATTGATCACTGTTGTGTTGATCAAAGCTGTTGTCTGTAAACATGTAATTATTTGAATATGATTTTGAATAAAACTTTGTACTGTGATGTAATGCACTTAAAATTCAATATAATACTATACAGGTATTGTGATTTCATAATTACCTTCTACCTGTACTGGGATGGCCATATCTAATTGATTAATAGAAATAACAATATGTTTAGTATATTTACATGGTATGAAATTTTAATGTT